ACTGAAGAGTACATAATAAATACGTAGCAGCTGTTGTGGAACATCAGGTCAACCTGCACATCAATCGCAGGGAGAACAAGTCGTGACCGTCACATGTTGGGACTTTTGCAGATGTTGTGTTTAAACAGTATGCCGCCGATTGCATCACGTCCCCGCAATCAGATTCTGCCCATGAAATGTTTATGTAGACATTTCCAGAAGGTTTTTTTTTGGCTTCAGCTTCCTGGAGCTCAAATATGAGATACAGGCTTAGATCAACTGCAAAGCGTTTCTGCACGCTTTTGGAGAGAAATTCAGAGGTAGCCGCACAATCAGAGAAGCCAAGGAAGAGGTGGAACTAATTCCCACTGCTGGAGGGAATTAAAACTAATCACATGGATGCAGGAAATGGGATGATTGAGGACACAAGAAGGAGAAAAAGCGTTCAGTAAATGAAAGAGAACAAGAGCATCGTTTTCCCCGCTGTGTCCACTCAGCAAACAGAGCTTTCTGCTACCTACCAGGTTGATAAAACCCAGGGAAAAACGTGCCTGTCTCTAGAAAAAGAAGTTTCTCCCAAAGGCCAGGGGACGGTGGGCGTCACTCTGCAGCTGCCACTTGACAGTGACACAATGTTCCCATCGGAACACCTCTGCGTTATTGCGCTTGAGTCGTTCAAGAGCCCCCCCTCTCCTATCCCCCCCTCTCCCATCCCACCCCCCCACCCCCCCACTCCATCCCAGCCCACCCGACACGTTGAAACATCAGGAGCTATTTATAACACCATCCCTTCATATGACGGAACACCTCCGTTTTTGCCCCCTTCCCTCTTCCCTCCCGGTTCCTCGCTCCCTGTTGCCATGGAGCTTGGATCCGTGACATCACTGGAGGGGGGCGGGGGGTGTGTGTGTGGGGGGGGGGGGGGGGGGGGGGGGGGGGTAGCGCTCGTGCGTCCGCGTATGCGCGCGTGCAGATGAGAGCCAAAATGCACGGACTGAATGAAGGAGGCCAGAACATATCAGGTGACGATCAGAAAACAGAGACAGCGGGCATCACGCAGGCAGCATCACACACTCACACACACACACACACTCACACACACTCACACACACACACTCACACACACACACACACACACACAGAGCCTGCGCAGCCTGTCACCAGCCCACGCACCTACCCACGTAGACGGCCAATCTGTCACACTCAGTCATGAAAATGCACGAAAAGCTAATTGGGTTAATGACTACAATGCATGCTTCAGATCCAAAATAGGTACATCACATCATAATTTAGATAAAACTGTAAACATAAACAATTCTGTAAGTGCATACTAAAGAGCGACACTCACTTGAGGCATAATTAAAAAAAAAAAAAGTTAAAATCAAGGTGAATTACAGCTATAGACTGTTAAATGACAGAATGTATAAAAAAATGAAGATGTTTTCCCTGTGCTTGACAGTTGATATGTTTTGTTAGGCACGATGGCCCTGATGGCGTACAGGGACTGACCCATGAAGACTGCCATCACAGTTTGCCACCATGAAGCTAACTCATCACTTAGTTACAATGCTTATCCAAAAAGGACTTTCTGAATAAAGGAAGCCCTGTGCATCCACCGTCATTAGAGGTATAGGGTCCGAAAACAATCTGTCACAGTGACGTGCACCACCTTTACAAAACCCCGTGTGTTAGGTTTCCGCTTCTCCCTGGATAAACACGGGTGTATTTAAAAGGGAATGATGTTAAAAAGATGAGTGAGCTAATGCTTTGAACATCTGACTGAAAACCAGCTGCCTCTCCTTCTCCCGGCCGGTCAAGAGGCCTCTTCAGACCGCACAGGGGAAAAAGCAGCAGAAAATAGAACCTGCCTGCAAGATAGAGGGGGGTTATGTGATAACACCGCCAACCAGAAATATTCCGCACACAATAAGAGCCAGAAGTCTGTTGCATTTCAGTCTGTGGAGGAGCGGGCGTCCCCGGGGCCTGGGGTCAGTCTGGCGTGGCGTTACAGCATGTACCATCTGACATGACCGCAGAGCCCATAAGCCCGTCTTATCTCCGGTGCCAACTGCTGCCCCCCCGGGAGAAAAAAGAAAAAAAAGGGACTGAGCGAACCGGGGGCAGGCCGCTAACACGGCAACGGAGCAGCCCAGAGAAAGCCTCCATTGTCTCGTCTATTTACATCCCTGTCCTCTGACCCCCTCACAAAACACACGCTTCCATACATCCCCTAACGCTGAGAAAAAACCTCAGTGTCACCCGCTCCTGCTTTTAGTCCGCCGCATCATAGCCACCCCCCCCTTTCGTTCTTTTTCCGTCCTCTCCTTTTGTCATCTTTTAAAAGAGGCACTATAAATACGGCAGATGCGAGCTGATCCACGCAAAAAAAAAAAAAACACTTCAGTTCCTGTGACTGGCAGCGCTCACAGGAGTCACCTCTCCACACAAACACACACACACATGCACACAAACACACACCACTCTCCTGGAGTTGTTCCACCTGTGTGCCGGCCTGCAAAAGGACCAATGGCAGGGCCGCTTTTCTGTATTGCCCCTGATGAATTTGCAACCTTACATGCAAAGCAGCCGCGTCGATGATGCGGAAATAAAGAATGCAAAGTGTTTGTGCGTGTGCCCGGAGCGCTGACCACACGCTGTTCAAAAAGGACATCCCTTGTATCAGGAGAATGGAAGAGGTGTTTTCTTGCGTGGCCTGGCTGTCTCTCTCATGAAAACTTTCATGAAAACTTATGCAGGTCCAAAGCAAGGGGAAAAAAACAAAATAATTGTTTTAGTCTCTGTGGAATGGCTGTTTTTCTGCAGCCACCTTCCATTCATCATAAAGAGACGTTCTGTAAATGACATTGGCTGGATCACTGACTCCTCATATCTTCACCTGTTGCATTAATACAAAATGAACTGATCTTGAACATCATGAGCAGCGAATACAGCCGATAAAGACCTGATGTTTGGGCTTACGCACCATTCCTCTCAACCTCGCTCCTCAGAGGCTGAGCAGAAAGGTCAAGCTGATCGATGACGATATTAAGAAGATGGATGGTCGGCGTCGCGTGGCTATCTGTTAAACCAGTGACTATTCTGGAACCGTCCAGACAATGCGGTGCTTGGACCAGGTGCTATCAGGGCATAAGCTGCTTCTTTGTTTGTGACAAGGTACCCATGTTGGCTATCCAGGCAAGACTCCAAATCAGTCAGGAGATCCAGGAGTGAATCAGAGGTGGTCGATCATTTACTTTCATCATTTTAAAATCGAACATGGTCCTTTGGATAATTCAAAAAGCCTGTCATTGCCACGTGGACAAAACAAATCCAGGATGACCTGAAGGCCCACCAGACCTGACCTCCCACACGGGGCCAGGTTTACGCCCAGAGCCTACATCAGCAAAGAAACCAGGCAACACATTGGACACTTGGGACTTGTATTGATTTCCAATTTTCCTTTTTGATTTGCAAAAAAACAAAAAACGGGATTGTGCTGTGATTCATGAGGTCTAAAAACCTTGCTGGCACCGACAGCCCAGAGCCAAAGTGTGAAGCTAGCAACTAGCTGGTGTAAACAGTAGAACCTTATTTTGGTAGCTCGTGAGCCTTGGGTGATCCAACCTAATTTTTTCACTGGAAAGTCCCCTGTTTTTAATGACCTGACCACACATAACCGTCCCCAGAAATGTTCCGATGTTAATCACTTGACTCGACAGCCTCGCCACGGATTCCTTTTCAAACTTTTGTGAGGAACCAGATAAGTGGGACTGTACCGAGAGCAGCGGGGGAGATAAGGAAAAAAAAGGAGAGGATGTGATTACTCCTGGTAAAACCTAATTAAGCCGAGCTCCATGCGAGCCCCCTTTAACAAAACGAGCCACATCTGTGAACCCATCATGAATCATATCCTTTCATTGGCTCTGTTGCATTTTGAGGTAAGAATTTCTGATAAATCTTGAAATACAAAATATGGACAAAACAGTATCTGCCGTTTCTCACCTCTCTATACATATAGTTATATTATAGTTATATTTCCCCTTTTTTCCGACAAGCTCCCCACCTTGAATAAATCAGGAGAACAAGGCAGAGGAAACCATAAACACCTCATATTTGGCCTGTACGTGGCCAACTATATGCTATTCAGAGGAGGTGAAAATAAGCAATGGATGCCGACTTTCTTCAACTTCAACACATACTTTTGTATAAAGCTGTTCCCCAAAGTAGCCAGAAAGTCTAAACCACCAGAATTATGTCACAGAGGACACAGATTACACAACAAAATATGCAAATGTCCTCATCTGAAACAGTATTGTTAGAAGGGGAGGGAGAGACTGGAGTCGTTCAGAGGCCACGGCACGATACATTTACAATGCAAAGACACCCGGGAGAGCCACGGGACTGCTTTACATCACAGGCATCGGCACATAGGAAAATCAGCTTTACGTGCCTTCTATTTCTGCACATCGTCATTCACCATACCTCCGCTCCAGGCCCCAGAAACCATGTGTACAGTGGGGATCGATTTTCACGCTGCGATGGAGCAGCTTTTAAAACTGCACTGGAGCGCAAACACGACTTGATTTGTCTTAACTGACATCATAGTGTGATTGTTTACGCTCCACTCGCAGTTTATGAGGAATGCACACAACAGTGCCTTGTTTGTGTGGCGGGCGCTCCCCCCCCCCCCCCCTTTTTTTTTAATTTGCTCCCAGAAAACAGGCATTAAAAAACAAAGTAATGAGCGTGTGCTTTAAAAAAGAAAGAAAGAAAAGAAAAAAAAAAAACGCATCTAAAAGCTTTTAATGGGCACACAGCATTTGGGGTAAACAGCACAGGAAAGCACTTATTTGATCGTTTTTAAAGAGGGAACCTTCCCATTATGGTTTTATTTTTTTAGGGGAGCATGTGACAGCAGCATGATCTCTAGAGGAAAGGTTCAGGAGAGAAAACCGGAGCGGATATTGAATGAATTTATTGTTGCTCCGTGCTTGGGCGGCTAGTTAAAGGCTGTCGTCGGCACACAGGCGCTCTTTTGTGGAAGTCATTTAGAAAGATGCCACGACTCCCGAGTGATTTGTAAATGTTTTTTTTTTATTAGCAAAATAAGGGAGATGAGTCTACAAAGATTCTCCTTCCACGGAGAACGTACACACTCACACATGGACAGTTGGTGCAGTTTCTTTACACGGACAGATCCGGCAGAGTCTCACTGATCTACGGACCCGACCACCTCGGCCCTCTCGGTTTCCATCGCGGAAAGGAAAAGGCTTCATCTATCTTCCACCTGCGCCAGCGATCGGACATAATCTGCGATATATCCTAAGTATAAATCGTGTCCGACTGCTCGTTCGGCTCCCCAACAATCCATCCTGTAGTTTAGTCTCTCCTCGACACCAAAACCTCTACGACTCCTCTTCCAAATACATTAAAATATACAATAAAATGTGCCAAATCTGGTCTCTGTATTTAAAACACTTGGGTATATTAGAAGCTCGATTCCTCGACTAACCGCTGTCTAGATGATTGGGAGGATTTCATATTTTATACACTGTTTAAAAACCAGAGCCCCCGATTCGTGGGGCGAATGTAACAATATACATCTCAGCGTTGTACTGCGTGAAGGGCGATAAGGGCCCACATCATCATGGCAGGTATTGGGATTGGGTTAGGGGATTGTGGAGGCTACATGTTGGTCACCATGGAGACCCATGTACCTTTAAACCAGAGGGAAATCTTCCTCCTCCCGATAGCTCAGTGGTGTGCACATATAAGGTAGCAGACACTAACAAATGAAAACAGTTTACCTCTTTATGTCTAGCACATGTCAGCAGGCAACAGAACAAGCATGGAGACTACGAGCGCAGTGAAAGGCATGCGAAGGCACAGGTACCAACAAACTGGACTCAGGGCCGAGCCCCTTTTCCTCCCTTGTAGTAGCAAGAAAAGAAGAAAAGGAGCATTTCCACCAACGGCAAAGTTTCCTTTTCCAGAAAACGGCTGCACAAAGAAACAGCAAAACGCAAACAAAATTGTAAAAAAGAAGAAAAAAAAACAAGAAAAAAAAAGGGGGAAACTCTGCAGGGACGCTTTTACAATTATACAAATATCCTACACTAATGTAGTAACGCTAGTTGAAAATGCTTCGAGACAAAAAACATAAATAAAGCTGTTAAAAGTGGCATATAGTACAGCACTGGTCCATCACGCATCCTCCCGACTCCTCTCATCTTCCCCGCCAACGTTGCACAATAGGCTGGCTCCTCTGCCTGAGGTGAAACGGGGAGAGAGAAAAACAAACAAACACACGAACATGAAAGACAGGCAGACGGGAAAAGGACAGGGGGACGTCCATTTAAACCTGGACTGGGGGAGGGACTGACTTCAGCTATAGCTAGGTGGACTGCAGTGGTAAAGGGGATTACGGTTTGATTGCTTTCAGGAGCATCTTACCAAAAAACAACAAACGGGTGGTCTTCTCTGTTGCAGTCTTCAGAAGAGCCCGCAGTCTTTCAGGTTGTTCTTGATGATGACGTCGGTGACGGCGTCAAAGACAAACTGCACGTTCTTTGTGTCTGTGGCGCAGGTGAAGTGGGTGTAGATCTCCTTGGTGTCCTTCCTCTTGTTCAGGTCCTCGAACTGACACTGGATGTAGGCGGCCGCTTCCTCGTATGTGTTGGAGCCTGGGAAGATGAGGAGACGATTAGTCCGGAACAACCCACCCCCTCCCCCCTCATGTAGGAAGGGGGCGTTCAACGTGTACACTCCTATTGTTTATTAGCGCAGTGGTTGCTAGCTATGCAGCTGTTATGAAAGGTATGGACCTTACACCAAAAACCCAAAAGCAGAAAAAAAGGAGGTTTGGCAGGGGTTTATGCTACAGACTACCCCCCCCCCACACACACCAAATGCTCCACTCAGTCCCATTAAAGCGCTGCTTGCTCTGCTTTTGAGATGCTCTCTCATGGATTAATCAGTAAGAGCTAATTTGGGAGTTTTAAATGCCCTGGTAGGTGCTGACCGGGCACTTTTTATTATTCCCATTTATGTCAATTAAAAAAAGAGGCAAACTGTTGCTGTAAAAAAATCTACGAGCCTCTGCTGTGGTTTACATGTGAAGAAAAAAAGCTAAGGTAATGGGTAACATTTTTAAAAAAGTCTTACCGGCGTACTCTGGGTAACAGATAGTGAGAGGACTTTTCTTGATTTTCTCCTCAAACAGGTCCTTTTTGTTGAGGAAGAGGATGATTGAAGTGTCTGTGAACCACTTGTTGTTGCAGATGCTGTCGAACAGCTTCATGCTTTCATGCATTCGGTTCTGAGGGGAAAATGGAAAAAAAAGAACAAGACGAGACGTTAGCTTGCAGGGCCTCGATCAGAGGCTTTCCTCATCCTTCCCGCCACTTTGCCCCGTCACAATTCGTCCGCCCCAAGAATTCCCAGCATGCCCCATCCTGCAGGCCGCACGGCCGGCCACTCACCATCTCTTCGTCTTCAGCCAGCACCAGGTCGTAATCGCTCAGGGCCACGCAGAAAATGATGGCGGTCACGCCCTCAAAGCAGTGGATCCACTTCTTCCTCTCAGATCGCTGACCGCCAACATCAAACATTCTGTGGGGGGGGGGGGGGTGGACATGTAAGCATTTCTCTCTGTTTACAGACAATACGAGCAGTGTTTTTGAAACCAACACCGGCCTCGCTGCACTTTGTGGTGAGGAAGGAGAAAGGCAACATATATTTCCCTCTAATTACAGAAAATCTGTTCGGATAAGAATCATCAGAAGCAGAAGGCAGAAAATAAAGAGCCGTGCAGCCGACCATAAATGAGCTGCGAATGGAGAATGAATGGATATGATAGGCTGACAGTTGTGACCCGTGTGGCTGGGTGGGGCTGCGTCAAACCCGCCGGCTGGGGCTGGGTCTCCTGCAGCTGAGAGCTGTTTGCAGGGTTTGAGCAGCGTACATAAACGCAGATCTGAGCTTTGGCGTGTTCGCCGAGCGGTGGCTTCGTTTGGGGGACTGCCGTGCTTTTGGTTTTGTCGTTTTGCCATCATGCGCATCAGGGCTGAACGATTCGAGGCCACTGTGCACTATGTCTTTAAAACCAACACAGGCCTCGTGAAGCTCGTGGAGCGACAGAGTGTACAGCTCCACAGCTAGGGCCTCATCTGGAGATGCTTTAAATCTAGATGCAGCCTTTCGCTACAGCTCAAACAATCCGTACGCACAAATAACGGGAGAATTAACACAGGCTGATGTCTTTTTAAGTATAAAATGGAGGACTTTTCACTTGGAAAGTGGTTGAAAGCTACTTATGTGTTATTCCTGCTTTATAAGAAATGCCAGAAACCTTTTCTACTTTATCTTCAGTGATGTTGAAAGAAGCTAAAAATCAAAGCTGTGGTGACGTTACAAAGCCTGCTGCCCCCACTTCCTGTCCATGTAAATGAAGGGCCACCACTGAGTCACTCCTGATGTGTGCTGGACCGCCGCGGCTCACGGCTGAGCACGTTCGGAGGGAGTTTCTAAAGGAGCGAGTGAGTCAGTGGCAGGAAGGAGCGCTAATTAAGCCGCTGTGTGGAGACACTTTGGAGTGTGAGCCAGCTGTTGCGGTGGAGAAATCCTCACTTGAAGTGCAGGTCTTTGAACGTGAAGTGCGTCTCCACGATGCCCGTGGTTTTGACTCGGGTCCGCAGGACATCCTGCTGGGTCGGGATGTAGGTGGCCTGGGATATCCTGTCCAGATCGTTCAAGTAGCTGAGAGAAAGGGAGACAAAGAAGAAGGCGTAAAGGGGGAGGGAACACACGCGCTGTTAAAAAAAAAGGCCAACTGAACTCTCAATAATAAACCAGATTAGATTCTATACTAAAGATGAAAAAGATGTCTAATTCCAACTTTTATAGTTCCACACAGACAATATGTCGGAATAAGGATTTAAAAACCATTTGGAACATTGGCTTTAGTTAAATTTAGACAATGTGGCGGTGGCTTAGTGACCTGGGATGTGAACAGGACCTCGCTTTTTATCTAAGCCCAGGGCTTTTCTGTGGGGAGTGTGCATTGTTTTGCTCTGTGGTTGGTGGGTTCACTGTGGGTGCTCCGGTCCTGCCCACACACTCCCACAGTATGGAGCTGGACTGGGAACTCCCTGTGTGTGAGGCCTGTAATGGGCTTGCCATCTGTCCAAAGTGATGTCCCACATTTGGCCGATTGCGGGACCTGCTGCAGTTCTCTCGTGATCCGGCAAAGGAAGATGGAGCCGCTAAAAATAGATGCATGGCATCCAGGTTTTTTTGTAATTAGTTAAAGGATTTTTTTTCCATCTCCTGTAGGTTTCCCTCTACTTAATGTGCTCAACAGTTGCTGAAGCAAACTCCTTTGTGATTTATATGAAGCACGGCTGGTTCCTTTGTTAGCCACTTTATGAGTTAATCTGCTGTGGCCGTTAATGACACCTCAAATAATCCAATTTTTCAATTTGACACTTTAACATTTAGGGGAAAGAGAGAGATCTGTGAACATTTTTTCGCTTTACAAACTTTCTCAAACTTCTGGGGCAAACGTTCTTGTGCCTAAGCGTGAGGTCAGAGATGAAACCGTCTGTTTAGCCGGCGCTCTTCAGGCTGGGGACAGGAAGGCAAATATTGACAGTCTAAAGGTCCAGACGCACGCTCCCTGAGTGCGGCTGAAGGTTGGGGGGGGGTGGGCCTGTGTCAGGCGAGCCTGTGTGTTTGACCAGGGATGTGTGTGTGTGTGTGTGTGTATGTGTGTGTGTGTGTGTGTGACTCACTATGCTGCCGAGTCGTTGAGCTGATACTCGCGGGAGCGGCTGAAGCAGGCCTGGACGCCGCCGTCCTTCCAGAGCCGCTTGATGACCCCAGCCAGCTCGGCCGTCATGAAGCCCTCCTCTGCGGAGCCGGCCAGCACAAACAGCTGCCGCGCATCGTCCTGCCAGACCAGCCGGTGCCGCGTCAACATCACCAATCGGCCGTCAAAGCCATTACACCACCGTGCGTAACACTAATCTCCCATCCAGCTCCCAAAGCCAGTAGCAGGGTTCTCAGGACATTTTAGCAGCAGATCATTATCGAATAAACCCCAAAAAATAAAAGTATTCATTTATCAAACAGCCACTGAAATCCTAGAGAGACTGGACAACTCCCACAACCATAAACAGCTCTGCCCTGATCTGGCCAAATCTCTCCTCCCCCCCCCCCCATCACTCACAGCTCTTGCGGCGTCACCAAACTCGATCTTGAGGCGTCCCATGGCCCTGATGATGGCTATGATGGACTGAATGGTGTTGCTGTAGACCACGGCTTTGTACTGCTTACATTCCTCTTCTGAGTAGCCCGCTTCGTGGATGATCCTGCAAAAAAGCAGAGGGAAATAAATAAAGATAATAACAAAATCTCCGCCGCACCAGTCATTTCTATGTGACAAATCTCCAGCCTGAGTCATCCGTCCAACGGGCTCAAGAAAAATGAGGATATATGAGTATTTCTTCCCTCTCAGCGTCCCTCATAACGCTCCGACTTCAGACTCTCAGCATGAAGTCTGCGCAAATACCTAAACGGCCCTGATCTCTTCACATTTCTTCATTTCTGGCTGCTGGAATCATGATCAGTCACTGGGGGGGGGGCTGGGGGGACTTCTTTCCCCCCACAGTAGCACTCAGAACTACTTACTGTCAAACTGAAAGCTTATATTACTAAAAATGATTATCTTCAAGCTATTGCCGTTTATTTTCACTAGGGGATTGTTATGAAGACACACGGCAGGAGAACAAAAAAGAATCATTCAACACTTTTGGTCGGCAAAACACCACAAATGTGTACTAGACTCTCGTTTGTTCATTTGTTCCAGACTTTTCTCTTCGACATGAGCTTCCATGTTCGTTCGAGGTGATCCAATAAAAAAAATATGTGGATTAATGATAGAGAAACAAAAAAGAAAAAACATTCTTTCAGTGTTGGATTAAGTGCTTTTTGTGCACCGGTGAATCCTAAAACGAATAAATGTGGAGCTTTGCGAACAGCAGTAGCTTTTGGAGTGATAATTAGGCATTCCTGTTTTTGTTATGGGATGATCAACTAAAGCCTGGTGCTTTGTTGTTCAAAGCACCAGAAGCTTTGCGTGAAGAGGCCCTGCACAGAGAAAGGGGGGTGCGGGTAGGGGGGGGGGGGGGGGAGAACTGAGAAAAAAGCCCCTTTGGGGGGGGGCAACCAAATGACTAGATCATCTATGAGCACTTTTCTGTGATTTGTTGTTGCCTTGAGAAACTGTGCACTGAAAATAATGTGCTTAAACAGTCCATGTGGTAGTATTTGCTATTTGGACTGGCCCCGATTTTGTTTTCAAAGATCTTTCCTTGTGCGTCTCTGTGAATGGACCCAAAAAGTGTCCAAGGCGCTAAAAAAAGCATCCGAGTGGCCAATCCTGAGGCAAGTTTTTCCCCACCTGTCTGTTCATTCTGCTGACACCACGGGCTCACAAAGGAAAGGCATCGTTTCTGTCCATCAGCCCCCCACCCCCCACCTCATTTTTACCAATCTTTTTCAGCAACTGTCGTTCTTCCCCCAGATGGTTTACGAAATGTGCACTCCTTTGCTTGTTTTTCTGGCTCCAGAAAAATAAGCGCGCTGCAACAGTGTCAAATGTCAAACCCAAAACAAAATGGAAATGCTACCCCTTCCGCCAGACTAACGTGTTTGTGCACTGGAGCTGCCCTCGATTTACGAGCCTGCTCGTGGTGAGAAAATTGACACGTCTGCTGGAACCGTGTGGCGCACGGGGGTCGCGCACGCCAACAACCCACTGATAAAGCTATGGCTGACGACTGATGAGTGCCTCTCAGAGACTATTCATGAAAAAACTCATTCGCATGCCGGACACGCGCGCGGCTAGTGGATGATGCATAGGTAGAGTCTGCACAGAGGCATTCTAAAAGCCATAAAACAGGTGTGTGTGTGTGTGTGTGTGTGTTGTGGAAAATGAACGCCTTGCTGGTGTGGAATCTGCTGTGGTCCCGTTGTGCTATTCTGATCGGGTGAGTGTGGAAGAGGAAAGAAGAAGAAGAAGAAGAAGAAGAAGAAGAAGAAGAAGAAGAGAAAGAAAGAAATGAAAAAGATTGTTCTTATTATCTGCATTCGCAGCAGTGAACTTACTTCATTTGCTTGACGATTGTGCTTTTCCCCGATTCACCAGCACCTGGAAAAGACAGAGAGGTGGAGGGGGGGTTATTGGACTGGGAACATTTAGAACATTAATGTTCAGTGAAAGCTGATCATTTCCATTTTCACCAGCAGAGGGTGAAAGAAAAAAAAAAGAACATCAGAAATTCAGTTTTTTTTTTTAATCAAAGCCTCTACGTTCCAAAGAGCCTTTTCCCCCTGCTGCTTACTCGGTGCCAAAAGGCTCGCTCAGATGACTGTTCTGTGATCAGTTCTCCTTTAATTGAACTGAATTTGTCACTGTGAGAGTCAGCTGCGCGGTGGGGGGGTTCGCAGCGAGGGCCTGGCTTTCAGTGTCGGCATTAGAGCCGACTAATGATAAAATAGATGATTATTGACAGTGCTGTGAACTCCAGCCGTGCGCGGTGCCACTTCAGGGGAGGCAGGCCGCGCGTGTCGCCCACTAATCGGACCGACAGCAGTTTACCTGACGGGTGAGAGGCCTCCGAAATGGAAAGAATGAAGAAAGGAGGCCCTGATAGGAATAAGAACCATCTGCTTTTGCCTTTTTAGGCTTCTTAAATTGTCAGCATCCTTGGTAATTGCTCTGGTTCTGTTGGGACACCACTTGTGAGAGGCTACAGTCGCAGGAGGAGGTTTTCTGGCCATGAGTGTGAGAAACACTGACAACCATTATATGTAATCCCCCTGCTGCTGCATTTTTGTCCGCTTCAGCATTTTACGTCTCCATCTCGGGCAAGTGAAATGTTTTCCTTACCAGTGAAAGCAATCTGCGAGGCCTCCATTGACCGCACTGTTCAGACACATGCTCTAATGGACACTACCGTCAGCTGCATTAGAACCACCAGAGTCCAACCAGAGTCTTCCATTACAGGGGCAGAGAGCTGGTTCTCGGTAGTGCACGCCTCCCTGGCTTAGGAAGATTCCTAAAAACCCCTCGTGAGTGGCCGTCCTCTGAGTCAAGCGCCCACCACTTCCCCTTTAGCTTCAGAAACTGAATATGAGGAAGCGGAACCACATCGTGACACCTACCGCCTCCGTCACCTTGTGACTCAGAGATGACAGTGGCGTGCTCTTCTTTAGTGACCCCCGCGCTTGGCCTCGCTCCACTCTCCCCGCAGGGTGGGGGTGGGGGTTGTTGTCGAGACAAACGCGGCCCCATCGGAGCGGAGGGCAGTTTATGGAAAACGAGGGCGTACGGGAGGAAAAAAAAAGCCTGAACTCCTGCAAACTTCCCCTCTGTTGCTTACAACTCTGTACTGACAGTACGGAGCGAGCACCTCGTCCGTTAGGTTGTTCACCTGAGGACAGATTTAATTACGCCTCACCGGTCTTGTGTGGGTGCACCGCGGGGGGGGGGCTCCCCGTGCTCAGAGGCCAAACATCCTGCTCTGGGAGTGCAGGCGGGACATGGGCATGGATGGTGGGTGCGCTGGCACAGTGGTGGCTCTCCGGCCGCCCCCCCAAAAAAAAAAAACGTTCTCGCAGAGCCGCACACAGACGCCCGCCCCGCATGCCAGCACGGGGGGCTCTCGGTGGGCCAAATCAGCGACGAGGTTCAGAGACGCGTCCTCGTGAGAGAAACTCGAGCCAACTCTAATGAGCACATCTTGAAAGGCAGACAATTTCTCTCAGTAATCGAGTATTGTTTTGCCCAAAGAGTCAACAAATATTACCCGTTTTTTTTTTCCAATGTTAGAACCAGTTACCCCTCAAATTTCTCCCCACTTTGACAAAGTCCTGCTTAAACTCAACTGAAACAAATATAACTCTGATAAAGTGAACTTTAGCTCTGAATCTTTTACATTCAGTCACAAAACAAGTCGAACGAGTGCTGAGCGTTTCCAGAAGATTAAACCTGAACAAATCCCATCAATTTAGAGTCCAAGTCAACGCCATAATCCATGTGGCGGTTCTAGGGCTGGTGGGTTCTGGCGTCTGAACGGCTGCGACATCATTGAGGTGTGGCTTTTGCCAGAGCCTCCAGGTCACAGAGCGAAATCGCTGATTTGGGCTATCCGGGGCCTTAAAGGGTTACAAGCAGCAGGATGCCTGACCTATCGCTCCAGGTGCAGAGTCACGTTACACAGCCGCAGCTTTGATGCACCCGCCCTAAAACTGCAGCGCACCCACAACCGCTGGAGCAGCTGGTTTCGCTTTCTTGCGGTTCCAAGCTATTTTGGGAAAACTCAAGTTCGGCCTTGCAGTGAACTCCAGAACAAAGCCTTTCCTATCTGCTCCCCACGCTTCTTAAACCAGAGTCTGGCGAGGACGAGGAGAGGACGGTTTCATGACAATGGTGTATAGTGCTTGCAAAAAAACAAACCGAAACAAAAAAAAAAAAGGGACATTTTCTGGGACAATCTGTGCAAATTCTCAACATTCCGGCTGGCTTTGGGATCAGATCGGAGCATGACGGGGAAATTGGGAGGGAGGTTTATGAAGGTCACGCTGCCTGGCTGCCACGTCCTCTTCTTAGGCCAGCCATCCAAGGAGGGCTGCTGGAGTTTGGCACAATGTGCTGAACACATTAGTGATGGCACATTAGCGCCATGAAGCCAGCCCCTCAGACCCCTTTTTCTTTTGCTTGGTTTTCCACTTCTGACTTGGCCGTACACATCCCCGTTCCTCTTCCACATTCTCTCTGTCTCCTACAGTCATTTTCCCTTCATGATTTATCGTTCCTCTCACTCACTATCCAACCCCCCACCCCCCCCTTTCTGTCTCTATGGGCGGATTTAAGTATGAGTCACTGGTGAAGGATTCCAGAAGCCGCCGAGTGGTGCTACCCACCAGAGGAAATGACCACGGTTAATCACGGAGATCGATCTGCCCAAAAGCACAATCGACTGCTGTGAGATTGTTTCCCACGAGCACGCCGACCAACACTGGCGTGGACTCAACTGCTCGCGCGCTGATGTCGAAGTCCAATAACAGGGACGCAAGCGATTCACCTACTTCACTGCCTGTCTTTATCTCTCATGTCACCCAGACGAGCAGCGCGGGCACGCCGCTCCACATCTTCGACCGCCGCGTTTGAAAACACTGAGGCAGAAAGACGGCAAAAGTCAGACAAAGCCTGAGGATGCCGAATTAAATCGTCCCGGAGTTGCAGCGCGGCTATAGAAAGAGTAATTAGGCTGGGGAGATTGTAATCTATTTCAGTGTGGAGATATGAATAGTCGGATAATTGGGTCGTGGAGATGATTAAACTGAAATGAGAGCCAAATGAAAATATGAGCACGGTGACAAATGTGCGGGCTTTTCGCACACAGAGGAGACGGCAGGCGCCCGAGCCTGCAGGAGGAGCCCAGGCTCCAGACTCAGATACTTCTGTGAATGCAAATATGTTCTTTTTCCTGGGTTGTGATGATCTCTTCAGGCTTGTGACCGCGTGTCCCACAAAAACACACAAAGGCGTCTCGTCTTCCAGCCTGGCC